CTCCCCCCCCCCCCAACAACACAAGACACACACACACACACACAAATAAACCCAAAAGCAAAACCAAAATCAAAACCAAAAAAAAAACCTCCAAAACATAAACAAAAAACCCCACCTCCAAACAGAAAAAACAACAACAACCCCCCACCCCCCGCCCCCATACCGACCTAATGTTTACTCTTTGGGCATTTTTTTTTCTTTTCAATATTTTTTCCTAGCGACTGCTGACTCTTCAGTGGCCGAGTGATTAGAGAGTTATCGCCTATACATGTGATAAATTTATGTCAAGCATAATATGTCGGCGATGAGGCGGAGGTGGGTGACCATTGGAGATTGTAATCACGTACTAAGCGTATCTAACATTTTAGTCAAAATCGAGTTAGAACCACTGCTCGATTACAGATATAACAATACGAATGTTATGTCAAATCGGGGAATCGATGCCAGCTTTAGTTACCGACCAGGCGCGGTTCGTCTATAGAGCACGGTCGTGCAGTGCCGCCCTCAATGTTATAATGTTGTATTACGTAAAGAAAACACACAAAAAATAAAATAAAAGGCGCCAGAAATAAACACTAGCCAAATATTATATCAAAACAAGGTCTTCGGTGGCGCCGTAACTGTCATTTCTGTGTCTATAGTGCGGTAAAACATCTACTATGCCATGTCAAAATTCATGAGCTGTATCTAATCATAACAGGACATTCAACAGTGGAAACCTGACCTACGAATAGTACCAAAACATAGCCCACAGTAGGCAATCTAAAAATAAACGCGATAGACTGCGCACTATTCTATGCCCAAATTATGTGAGCCCCGGAGCAATCCAGCGGAGTGCTCAAGTGAATTGTGATTGGTTCATTGTCTTGTCACTATTTTACGTGACTATGTGACCGTGAACCCGAGAGAGGTGAACGTGACATACTTAAGTCATCCATCGTCCTATGAGTTGTGCTTTTGAACGGTTTTGTAGTGGAGTGGTGAAACGTATAGCTTGAGTGGTCAGTTCTAATGCAGGATGAATTAAATTGACGTTTAGCTATCACACAGATTTAGCTCTAGAAGTCAAAGCCACAAATAAAAAGAATGAAAATAGAATCACAAGGTTTTCCCCCAACAACCCAAAGATCCTAAAATTATACACCATCTCATTTACTAGGCCCTTGACTATCTTCAACCTTAAATAGCTTAATCGAGCACGCCCACTTTTTAGACCCACGAGCCACCCCTGTTACCGACATATTACAGATACACCTACTAGCGTAAAGGAAAAGTTTCTTGTTTGCGAAAACACGTACATGTAGGAGCGTAAGGGACGATACGCTTGTACGTGGTTTCTGTAATTTTTTGTTTTGTTTCGTTTGCCACTCTCATTTCACGAAATAGCGTCAGACAAGTGAACACCGAGGCTGAGAGGGGGAAAAGTCTCAGCAGAAGAAAAAATGCAGATCGTCCACACTTGGGATCAAACTCGGGTCTTCCGCATGCTAGGCGAAGAAAGAGCCTTATCATTACACCAATGCGGTGGTACACATATTATTAATATTATAAGCAAAGAGCATATGTTGCGAGTTGTATCTGTGTCGTTTCAGGAAACATTTGGAAACTAAGCCTACGTCGGAATGGCAGACAGTGATTCTGATTATGACATACCCCTTTCTGCTCTGAAAGAGAAATTAAACGACAAAGGCATTCGAATGAAGGAGCTAGGGGGATTGGCGAGTTCGATTTTGAAATGCAAAATGAGGACGCTGAAGGTACCGGTACCTGTGAGGAAAAAGAAATGATTGTTTTGGATCAGTGCGTTGATGATATTCGGGGAGATGTGGCCAGCACTAAGAAAGAAGCAAACTGCGACGATGTGTCAGAACATGATTATGACTCAAACAGAGAACCAGAATATAGCCCAGGTCAGTGTGAGGTGAGAGGGTGCAAAGCAGAAGTGTGGGCAGCCTGTCCTGAATGTGAAAATTTGCTTTGTTTTGATCATTTGCAACAGGATGTCTCTTCATGTCATCAGCACGGACATTGCACAAAGAAGAAGAGGAGAAGGATTGAGAGTCCAAGAACGCAAGATACTGACATAAATGAGATGGCAGTCACCAGAGAAGCAAATGAAAATGGGAATCAAAATAATCTTGCAGCAGTAGAGTGCCTGCCTGAGGATTAGATCTACATAGTAGAAGGCAGTGAAAGAGAGGTCTCACGGGAGAAAGTGCCTAGGTTGAACAAACAGAAAGAGGCCAAGTGAAAACAAAATCATGGACAAGAATATAATGAGCATTGCAACAAAATAGATAGTCGGAAGAAGGCAGATGAAACAAAGATGCAAGCCAACATGTACTGTCCAGTGTAAACGCCAAAGCTCATCCATCAGTGATGAACAGAAGCAGGCATTCTTCGACGCATACCACGCATTGGGGAACCTCAGTCTTCAAAGAGAATATTATCTAGCCAGACACATCAAATGCGTACCCAAGAAAAGAGCAAGCAATGTACAGACATCTCGAAGGCAACAAACCAGGCAGTACTTTCAGACTGTTGATTTCAAAAGTGTTCAAGTTTGTAATGTGTTTTTTCTCAACACTCTTGGGATATCAGAGCAATTCAAGCGTACTGCTCTGAACAAAGTCACTTCATCAGGGACGATTGAAGGAGAAATGAGAGGTGAAGTTCAATCAAAGGCGGCGATTCTACAAAAACAAAAGATAAGAAAAGCGGTGGCTGATCACATTGACAGGTTCCCGATGATTGAGTCACACTTCTTTAGAGCATCGTCTTCAAGAGAATATCTCAGTCCAGACTTGATAAAGAGAAAAATGTATATGTTCTTAGAAGAGAGGAAACCAAAGCCAGAGCCACCAAGTTTTGTCTTTTACAAGAGCGTGTTTAAGGAGAAGAATTTATCCATCCACCGACCCCAAAAAGACCTATGTGTCACCTACCTTAAAGGAGACGAGTCTTCACGTCAAGCTGTGAAAGCTCAATATGACAATCATGTTCAGAAAAACAAAAGGTTAGAGAAATCAAAGCACAATGCAAAAAGGAAGCACAAGGGGATGCAACTGTTCTGTGTGCCAGTTTTGACCTTCAGCAGGTTATCTACCTGCCTGTCTCACAAGAAAGTGCAATCTTCTACAACTACAACTTTTCAGTTTACAACATTGGGGACAAGAATTGCCATTGCTTTAAATGAGATGAAACAATGAGTAAGCGCGGATCATCCAAAATCTAAACATCAGTGTACAGTGCCCTGAATTTCTATGACGAAAGAGGCAGAAAGAAAGCCTACCTTTTCTCAGATGGCTTCACTGGCCAGAATAAGAATTCCATTACCCCTGCCTTCTTGCTGTATACGTTGGGCAGAAGCAAAAACCTAGAGGATTCTCGAGATTTTTCGAGACGAATCACGTTCAAAATGAGGGTGATTCTGTCCATAGCGCCATCGGGCATACAGTGAAAATTGCGTGAGACTTGTTCCTTCCATCGCAGCAAATAACAATTTTTGCTCTGGCACGACCGAAGCAACCGTACAAGGTGCACAGTTTGCAGTGGGATGACTTCTTTGACTTCAAGACCTTGTCAAAGGATCTCCGCATTATGGAGGCAAAGAAAGCTTCAGATGCGGGTGAAATAAACTGGAACAGTATCATGGAGATTCGAGTCACAAAAAGTCTCCCAGATACAATCTTCATAAAAACCAGCCACCTCGACACTCAGTTCAAATCTCTCTGTCTCAAAAGACTGAAGAAGCCCGTAAAAGACCACACTCTTCACAAACTGAACACAAGACTTAATTACATCTCGACAGAGAAATTTCAGGACCTGAGCTCGCTTTGTGTCGGGGAAAAACCTGTCGTGAAGTTGCCTGAACGCAATAGCTGATTGCTTACGGTATCAAAATATTCCCTCAGTCTATTACTGGCTTCAAATTTTGAGCTACCTTTGATTGATACTTAGATCTACAACAAGAAACACTTAGTCGATTAACGCTTTTAAAAAATTTGCTTTCTGGTGATTCAATTCCTTCTGGGTTGTTTTCTCGTCATCGTTACCTTTCAAGTTATGATACGGGTAATAATAATATAGATTA